ACCAAAATTCAAATGTTTCGACTCTAGTTACCATTCAAACAAGCTCTGAACAATTATATGCAAACCTTTTTATTGATACTATTTCCAGTAAGAAGGTAACACTTGTGGTTGCAAATCAAGATTTAGAACAAAGTAATGAAGCGGAAACTTGGAGTTACGTTTGTCAAGATGAAAATTTTACTAATTGTGGTCAGACAATTGCCAATATTCTCTCGAATTATGCTTCTATCAAATCTAAAACTTTGGAATTATCAGCAGATAATTTCCCATCCATTGATTCCACATATTCAATTACTTTAAACATTGTAAAGGGAGTAAGAAGTTTTTCATCTTTAATTTCCTTGAAATTTCCAAAAGAAAACCAAAAACTTCCTCCAATAGTTAACTTATTGAATGTTATTCCAAATAGAAACAGATTAAGCAAATCTGAATTTTTGAATTTACAAATTTCTGTCACTAACAGTGATGGATTGGATGTCAAAAATTTAAAAAGAGAATGGAAATTGAATGGACAATCAATTGATGATAACTATTTAACCAAGATGAGTACAGCATTATCAGATTCTAACAATATCGTTTTAAGTATCACCTATTTAGATGAAGGTTCATCTAACGTATTGACATGTCAAGTCACAGATTTGGATAGTCAATTGTCAAGCACTTTTAGTTACTCATTTTCAATTATTACATCACCTAAACCATGTCCATGTTCAGTTTCACCATCTACAGGATATGCGTTAGAAACAGAATTTACCTTCTCATGCACAAACTGCCAAAATAAGGACAATACTCTAGCATTTAGTCTATCATTTGTAGATGATAAATCTGGAGCTCTTATTCCACTTGTAATTGAAGGTGGAAACACATTTACCACAAAGCTTCCATATCCAATTTCCAATCCATTAATGTTTGACATTACAATTGTTGACATAGAGACACTTGCATCAGTTCAAAACTATCAAAACATTCAGATGATTTTACCAAAAGCAAGTTCTGTTCGTGAAGTCAAAACAAAAGTTGCCAAGTGGAATACTTTCCAAACTTCACTTCAACAAAATGATTTGAGAAGAATGATTTTCTCATCTGCAATTATTTCTAGAACCTCTGAGGCAATGATTTCAGCAATCAGTGGAAGAAGATCTATTTGTTTGAACGGCGGAGTTTATAATTCTCAATTAAGAAAATGTATTTGTGTGAATGGATACAAAAAGAAAGATTGCAGCCTTAATGAAGAAGATTTCACATTGTTAACTGAATTTAAAGGTGAATTATTTAATAACTTTTTATTTGCATTCAAAAACAGACAAGAACAAATGTCTGAAATGTATATCATCTATCAATTATATGGCTTGGATTCACTTTTATCAAATTATGATGAATTGAATGCTGAGATGTTTGCAAATGGAGTCCAATTCTTCAAGGATTTAATATCTTCCGCTGTTAGTGTTTCTAATTTACATCTAAGACCTGGAATTGACAAATTAACTCAAAATATTATCAACTCACTTTACAGATATTTGATTTATAATGGATGTATTGAAAAGGAATGTTTGAGAGATCATGTTATTGAAATGATAAGCATGTTGAAAGAAATTTCACAACTATTACTCAGATCCAAACTTGTAGGAGAAAGTGATCTGAAATTAGACACTGATTTTATGGTGTTATTGACAAATAAGAACTATAGATACCATTTCAATAGTTTGAAAGTTCAAAATTTAACTTTACCTACCAATGATGAAGGAATTTCTTCAATTAATAACAGAATGCTATTGTCTTTCATTTCAACTAGTTCACATAATTTGGCCAACAAAATTGAGTCAACAATTGAAGTTTATGAGAAGGTAGAAAATAATAGAAAAGAGACTCAAACAATCACCAAGGATTATTCTATTACTTCAAATGTTATAAGTTTTTCCTTTTTAAGAGACCTCCAAATGAATCAATCCATTTCCTTCTCCTTCCCTAGAAATGATCAATTTTCCGCAAGAAGCGAGCAATCATTCGAATATTCATGTATTGTAATTTGGAATATCACTCAAGTTAGACCAGAAAATGAAAATAATAATTGTAAAATAGTTGTCAACCAAGAAACAATTATTTGTCAATGTCCATATCAAAACCAAACTCAAGTAGGTGTTTTGAGAACAGCCATTTCGAGACGTGTTTCAGTTGAACAAGTAGCTCAACCTTCAGATTCAAGTAATTTACTCTATCTATTATTTTTACTCTTTTTAGTATTGTTTATTATTTTAATTGTAATAATAATTGGAATTGTTATTGTATGTCTGGTTAAAAGAAGGAGAAATGGTGGTAGTAAAAAGTCAGCAGCACATGTTGAAATGGAGACTGTTAAAACTTCGACAGTTTAGCCTGAATCACTAACCCATATCAAATGGGACCGGTCCGGATTCTTGGATTTTTTCAAGAATGCGTTCAAACACGCTTCAATAAACTTTTTTTTATTAAAGATTCTTGGCGTGAAACCTAGTTCGAAATAAACCCATTTTAAAAATTATTCAATATTTTGTGAAGAACTTGGAAAAATATTTCAAAAATATTGGATCAACATCAGCCGTTGATTCTTGGAGTGATTTCACATCTATTAACTCCAAGAATTTCACCACATCATCTCATCATGATTTAAATAATAGTATTAATAGTAATTTTTGGAATTTAATCTTTCATCATGATTTGGAAATAATTTTATTATTTGGAAAAATTCAAGTTGGTACATGATCATCGGAACAACTACCAACCATCATCATTGTTATTTATCATCATTATAATAGTAATATTTGTGGAAATAAATCTGATAATAGTAATATTTTAGCGAAATTCAATATTTTCACTAAAATCATCATCACTGCCAGATTCACATGATAATTTGGAAAACTTTCAATCTAGTATTGTTCAGAATGGTCAATTTCATCAGGTAAAATCACTTCCGAACATTTTCCTATTGGTTATTATGATGTTAGGTATGTGTATATTTTCAAAATGTAAATGGACTATATCTCAACATGTACTTCATCAACTTGGAAAATGTCTTTCATCACTACTATTCAAATACATAATAAACAATATATTTATTATCAGCTTTTCATCATTTTGTGTTTTTGTCAGCTTCGGAATATTCATGATAACAAATCATGATTCATGCCAAAAGTACACAGCCAATCATCTTGAAACATTAATAAACTTTTATTAGTACTATTGTCGATGTACCGTGCCAATTATTTCGTCGTGCTTCGTTGAAATCATGAAGATTTTGATATTTCTGTTTTAATTAAATTTCACATCACCTACATTGTCTCCTATGATGAAATGTATATAGGGAGGATGTAAGCAATACATAGTCGGTACTCTATTCATTGTTTGCTGTTTTATGGTGTATTCGAGATTTTGAAATCTTGAGAAATATCCAGAGGTCATTCACCAAATAATTATAATTTCTCTATAAATGAAATGAGGAGGGATTCATGCTATGATTATTTAGAAGAGCCACATAGAGTTTGGATACTATCTGAACTGAAATGAGGTAGAAAGAGTACAATCTTCAAATGTATTATAATATGTCCTCTCAATATTGGATTTCGAAAATGGTAAGGCAATCCTAAAGTCATCTTTCAAACACAATACAGTAGCACATGATAATATTTCTACTTTGTTTATTGGTACAAATTGGAATGACTTTTATTGCCGCTTGTTTTTTGGTTTGCTTACCTTGAGAAGCCACCATGAAGAGAGTTCTCCCTTTGCTTCCTTCCACTACATCATCTAGATAAGTACCTGATACATTAAAGTGAAGTTAATGTACAAGAACTAAGAAGTACTTCAATCTATGATTGTTATCAAAATCCTAACTATTCGGTGAGAGATAAAACCTAATTAATAGCGATGCAATAGACAACCGGTTAAAGATGAATCTCTTTCCCATTAAATCAATGATTCATAAATAAGGGACTTGTGATTGCTGTATACTATGCATCTTCCTGATAATGTAATTGACCTCGTTTAGTGTAATTCACTGAGATATTCTAAAAAAGGTGGAGATAATTATTATTTCCTCAAGCACTCCTTGTTCCTTTGCTCTTCAAATACTAGTTAATTAGTGTTGTAGATTAAACAGCTCAAAAAGAATGCTTCCAAACAATTTAACCAACCAGCAGACACTATTATTCTTGTTGCATCTGATGCTACAGAACTCTAATAATGAAGTGAATCATGATGATTCGTTCCTTCCGGGCTGGGAAAAAGATGATAATAATTGTTGTCCAGTGAATCAATCAGCACTATCCAATGATAATACTTACACTAATAATACAAATAATATTGTGTTTGGGAAGGAAGAACCCAAATTACAACCATCCAAGATAATTAAGAGGAATAATAACTCCAATATTACTAATAACAAGCAGCATTCAATGAGAACGCGCCCTAAGGTTATCAACCCCTCTACTGTAAATACTTCTCCGAGCATTAGCAATAATACTACATTCTTCATCATATCGACCATTGAATCTATTAAGGAAGAAGAAGAATTGAAGAAAACTCTTCCTAAACGACCAAGAGGAAGACCTCGTAAGAATAGTTTCGAATCAATGTCCAATTCTTCTTCTTCATCTTCAAATTGTTGCTCTTCTTCCAGCAGTAAACGAATCAAAAGGGAGTAACAATGAAGAATTATCATTCATTTACAAGCTGTTGTGAATACTACAGTACTGAGAATGAAGATAGAAATCTTGATCCAAACATTCATCAACATCAACAAAATCATCATCAAGCATTTCATCCTCATGACCTTGGATGGATCAACAATACTGAATTTTTGATTTGTCTCATGGTTATAGATGGGAAAATGTCAAAGTTTCCTTCATCAATTATTGGCTTAATTTCTCAAATTAAATCAACCAATTATTTACTATAGTATTAACAATAACTATTGTTATATACGAAATAAACCCGTATAAATTATTCAGTAATATTCGGTCGCATCATTCTCCATGCAAAAAATATCTTTGGACACACCGATTCTTGTTTGTGGAAGAAATCAAATAACTTAGAAAAATATTTCAAAAATATTGGAACAACATCAGGTACATCACGACTCTGTTGATTCTTGGAGTGATTTCACATCTATTAGCTCCAAGAATTTCACCACATCATCTCATCATGATTTAAATAATAGTATTAATAGTAATTTTTGGAATTTAATCCTTCATCATGATTTGGAAATAATTTTATTATTTGGAAAAATTCAAGTTGGTACATGATCATCGGAACAACTACCAACCATCATCATTGTTATTTATCATCATTATAATAGTAATATTTGTGGAAATAAATCCGATAATAGTAATATTTTAGTGAAATTTAATATGTTCACTAAAATCATCATCACTGCCAGATTCACATGATAATTTGGAAAACTTTCAATCTAGTATTGTTCAGCATGGTCGATTCCATCAGGTAAAATAACTTCCGAGCATTTCCCTATGGAAATCATGATGATAGATTCATGTATATTTTCAACATGTACATGGACTATATCTCAACATGTACTTCACCAACTTGGAAAATGTCTTTCATCACTACTATTCAAATACATAATAAACAATATATTTATTATCAGTTTTTCATCATTTTGTGTTTTTGTCAACTTCGGGTTATTCATGGTCACCAATCATGATTCATGCCAAAAGTACACAGCCAATCATCTTGAAACATTAATAAACTTTTATTAGTACTATTGTAGATGTACCATATCAATTATTTCGTCTTTTTTCGTTGAAATCATGAAGATTTTGATTTTTCTGTTTAATTAAATTTCACATCACCTACACCATATTTTGTTGATGTAAACTAGACTAATTACATGTAAATAATCCATTGTTGATTCTCTAATCATGTTTTATTGTGTTTTTTTTTGTGTATTTAGGATTTTGAAATCTTGCACAGTATTCTGCGGTTATTCTTCATATAAATATGATTCCTCACTTCATGATATGAGGAGGGATAGATAGCATGATTGTTTGGAAGTGTTGTACAAATTTTGGACACTCCCTGAATTGAAATCAGGAAGAAAGAGTCAAATCTTTAACACCATATACAATATGACTTTTGACGATGGTTTTGATCTTGTTGTTCATACCTCAAACATTGGAAAAGGAGAATGATAAACACCTTTTCTAAACATATTCTATATTTATTGAAGTTATGACCATAAGAATAAATTTCGCATTACCAAACCATGCGAATTTATTTAGTATGAAATTTATTTTGCATAAATTTTATTCGAATATAATTGCCTGGAACAGGATGGTGATGTTATAGAGCTGAAATTGGGAAAGGAATTGATTAATGATAATTATTCAAACATTAATGCTGGACCAATGATTCAAAATTCGAATGGACTTTGGGAATTGTTGCTTCAACATGGTTTTGAATTGAAGGAAACCAGAAATTACAATTATCCAGATGAAACCTTGAATTTCTTAAAATTAGAAAGATGTTGTTGATGATTTTCAACGTTAGGGATGAACCAAACACTTGGAAACTAGTTTGATTTGATATTCCCCATGCAACATGTTGTGGCACAATGTTTGAGGTCCGTTGGTGTTAATAAGGCGATGGTCTATAAGGCGAAATACCATTGTTTATAGACCTTGATAAAATTTGATTTGTGTCAGCATGCCAAAACGAGACCATTATTGAAAATTCAAAACGCAAGTGCTATTTTGCAAGCACAATTAGTCTACTGTAGTAGATTTACAGCAATTATAATATAGTAATGTAACTCACCAAATAGAGCACCAACAAAGCAACGTGAAAAGTGGTGAACACTAGGTGTTTGGTTCAATGTTCAGAAGGTAATATTGATTGTTTTTTATCCATCCTCAATCACTCCTCAACAAACCAATTCATTCCCGTTAGCATGGATATATAAAAAGTTATTAAGGCGAAAATAAGGTCTAAATTTAGGTATATTATCGAATTCAAAACTATTTTGTTGCACTATACTAAAAGAAACACTGCAGGGTTTGGTTAGGATTCAGAGTTGATTTATTTGGGTTATTTAAGAGATTACTTAGTGAAGATTCATATAATTGATTATATTTCTTATCATCTATAAATGATGTAATTTTGATGGTTTCATTTCTTATATTGATAGATATTTAAAGGTCAGGTCAGAACTAACTTTTGAAATATGGACTTTAAGAATTCAAATGTTTGGGACGTGAATCTACTCATTAGATTGTGTTGGTATTGCTAATAAAGGAACATTTCATTGATTTATTGATCATAACGGTCAAATTGAGTTGAATGGAAGTGAATCAAATGTTGATTGATCGTGGATGGGTAGTTTCGC